AGAGCCAGGGAATTTTTCAATTCCTCAGCCTTGTACAGGGACATTTCCTCACCCCGTTGAAGAGGTACACAACTCCATTTACAGTAAAGGATCAATTCTTCAGGGAACTGAGATGCTGTTGGAATCTGGATGCACATTTTCAGTATCTTTTTTTTCTCTTTTCTTGTCCTTGATGCCCTCAGCACAGAGCCATGACCTGAGCTGTCACCTCGTCCCAGCCTCAAACCCCCACATTCCTACTGAACAACATGGGGAACTTTGTAAGTTACGGAAGTGTGGTTGCTGAGAAATGTTTTATTACAAAACCTAGATTAAACAGGAGATTAAACAAGTGCTTAATTTGCCATCTGCCAGCCAGAATCTACCTTGCTGGAGCATGGCATGAAAGCAAAATGTAGAGCTCTTTTTGAGCTCAGAGGAGCTGACGAATACCAAAAAATGATCTCTTTATGAAGCAGCCTAATTTTCCTTCCATACAAATACGCAATAATCAGAAGTGGATTGAAATTCAGTCTTCCATTGTGCCCACAGAGGAAGACAGGATCAGTGTCCCTGGTCAGGGAGTGTAAATTTTGGAGACTGATGCCACTGCTCAATGCATAGCGGGCAGTGCATGTCTCGAGGGAGGGATGGGATGGGTAATGAACTGCCCAGTCCTGGCAGAGAGGAGGATTTGGACATGCTGTTCACCTCCTCAGCCTACTTCAGCAAACCTGAGGGCTGCTGCTTTGATCTCTGCTGGAAGCGCTGCTCCAATTTGCAGCCTCTGTTTCAAGACATGTGTGACAAATACTTTTAGATCTATGCTGTGTTCATCAGACATATCTACGTATATGAGAGTGAAAAGAGTCTGAGTCACCTTTTCTGTATCTAAAACACACAGCAATGCCACAATTAAAGTCAGCATAAATAAGAATTCCCCATTGCCCTGTGTCCAAACCAAACCATTTTGCAGAGCAGGAGAGATCAAATCAAAGTGGACATACCTTTGTAAAAATACAAACAAAATTATCATTGTGACTTCATCCATCAGCCATTTTGAACCACCCAACCCTCAGCTGCAGCACGATCAGAAAAAAATAATAAAGTGTGACCACTAAAGACCTAATTGTTTTTAATTAGAAATTACTGAACTTACTTGATCTAAAATGAGCTTTCCACCAACCCATTCATTTACCTACTCTAGAAAGTCTTCCAAGGCCTTTGTGCTGCACTTAGCTCTTGCCCAGCTACCCTTTGCCCTTGCATAAAGATGCTCAAGCCTGGTATACCATGTTCAGGCCATAACTGACAGAGCACACACCCAAAAGCTGCAGAAGTAATACTGCAGTCCTTCATTTCCAGCTCATCACCAAGGAAATGAACCGCCCTGAATGTGCTGTCATTGGTTCCTCGCATGGCCTGTAGGCAGTGTACCAGGAATATGGGAGGTGGAAGAAGCTGTTAATGTGTTTGCCTCACTATCAGTACCAGGTCATTTGAGTTTCATTTTAATTGTTGTGCTCTGCTTAGAAGTGTTTCCTGGAACATCAGTATTTCCACAGCCACGAGTAAGCAAGTATTCTTGTGATTTCTTGTGGTTTCAGTGACTGTTCTGAGACTGCAACCCCCCTCCCCAGGGTGCTTCTTGTTGCCTTAGTGAGTAAAGCATTTTGGCCACAGTGGAAACTATGGAAGAATACAGGGAGAAATAACACACAGAAGGGGAATAGGGCAGCATCTTCCATGGAGATGAAGTTGACCTCACAACAAACACAGGCATTCAGCTGGCCAGTCAGTCTGACTTCTCCAAGCTGGTTCTCATTTTGTTCCCCATTTCTGCTCACATCCACCAACATGGACATGTGCTGGCTGTAAGCAGGGCTGCTGTCAGCACAGGGATGTGACCATAAGTCTGCCTCTAGTCACACTTTCTGTAGTGCAGAGAGATGCAGGACGTACTGACAGTGGAGCTTGCCTGCTCTACAGTGTGTGGTGAGATTAATTATTTTGGTTTGCCTCGTGTCTGTAAAGACAGCTACAACCAGTACAATCCACTCCCATCCAAATGGAAGCTGGGGGGGCCCACTTGTGGAGCTGAGATGCCAGCACAGAAGGTTTGGTGTCTGTCCAAACCCATTTCAGAAAGCAGCTCCACAAGGTGTAACAGCCTCTGCAGGAAAGGTGGCACCTGGCCTAAAAAAGGCATCCTAGGGCAAAACAGTGATTAGGATTTCTTGGGTATATTGTCAAGTAAGTCCAGAAAATAGTCCTGCTGTGACACAGAATGTATCTTTTATAGTCATTTCATAGGGTAAGTGCTCACAAGAAGTAAAATTATTTATGAAAGTGATTACTTCTGTTTGGGCATATAGTGTTACGTGAGAAATCTGTGGCAGCAGGTGAGAGCCTCACGTATGAGGTAGATTTTTGCTTTAAACCCAGCGTAGACAATAATCTAAAGCCAAACAAGGAAGATATTCAAAGATCTTTGTCTATGTCAGGCTATCTTAAGCACCTACATGGCTCCCAGTGCTGCAGCGTCTGATCACAGTGTTTTGTAGATAGAGAATTCTGCAGCCAGAATGATGCTGCTGAGTGCCCGTTCCTCCTGGCCAGGAATGGCCACGTCTCACCAGGCTGCTGCGGAGCAGCGTGGCAGAGAAAATATAAATTGAAGGAAAAGGCCACAATGGGAATTCTGGTGGAACATCAAATGAGTACAAGGACATAGAAGATCAAGAAAGAAAAGGGAAAGACTTTCCCTTTGGGTAAATGGGTTTTTGTAACAAAAATTGAATATTGCTCAGATCCCTCCTATTGATATAATCCTGTTAATGTGAAATTCAGGTGGAAGCAGAGGCCATTAGCAGGGAATTTACCTGCCCACCTAATGTGATTACACAGGTAACATCGCTTGCATCCGTACAACGGGACAGTGAGAATATTAATGCCTTGAGCAATTGCCTACTATCAAAACTGATTTGTCTTTTCTTCTTATTAATGTTTTCCAAAAAGTATTGTCTGAGGATAGGAAACTATTACAAAGGAGTGCATCTCAGTGGGGGTTTTAAGCAACTTTCTTTTAAACCATTAAACCAGCATGTGTGGAAGATACCAGAACAAAAAGAGTAATAAAAGCAGAGTGGTTTTAGCCCAGGCTGTGGTTACACAGACAATAAAAAAAATAGCAGAAATAGGAAACTTTTAGCATAGTCCTGGCACTGCCACATTTGATAGGCAAAAAGCGAGGATAAAAATGAGATGAGCAATGAGGAAGAGTTTGTGTATTCCTGAAACACAGCACAGCCTAGGAAGATGGAGGGACTTTGCAGCAGAATGAATGGTGTTCTTTCTGTTCTGGTTGAGGAAGATGTGTTGTTGCAGGGAATTGTGTAAGTATTTCACAGTGCTGTAGCTGCTGAAGGAACTGCCTGGCCAAAAGCTTGCTGATGGTAAGAGCAGAGATGTTGAATTCCAGGGGGAGAGTGCAGCCATGCCTTTAGACAGGTCTTGGAGATGAAGGCAGATACGGCTGCGACATAACAGTACTTCTTGGGTTTTAACCATGAGGGCTGTCTCAGTTGATGGCAAAAGTGAACAAAGCAGATAGTTGCTCACTGAGGCAAACTGAGAAAATATATTTCCGTTCCTTTAACGGGCACAGCAGAACGTTATGAATGCAAAAATAATTGCTGATCTTGTGATTTTGGGGGCAAGCTGTGCTCTTTTGCTACGTTGTGCAATATCCTGTAAGTTTTCTTTTTAAAAGACTTATTATTGCACAGCTAAAACTACCATAGCATATCCGGATATAGTTCAGTCCAATTAAACAAGCTTGGCAGTATTATGTTCAAGCCAAACAATATTAAAAACAAAGACGCTTTCCTTTAAAGCAGATGGTAGCTTCAAAGCCAAGCCAGGATGATATTCATGACTAAGGCCAGGAGTGAAGCTTGGGGAAGAGGAGCCACAAAGAACTGGCCTGGCCAGATTGCTGAGTGGCGTTAATCACCCTGCTGAGCCCATGGGACATGCCTGATTTATCCCAGCTAAAGACCAAGATCCTAGAAAGTAAATATACAAATTGTATTGGTTCTAAAAGTCAGATTGCACTTTGTGGAAAGACGTCGAGAAATGCAAAAGCTGAATTTCCTGCAGTTGCACTGGGCTGTGGTTGTGCCATACTTTGTGCATCTGAGCATGCAGTTAGTAACTGCATAAAGAAGAGTAAGGGAGAGCCTTGTGTGGGTGTGCCCTGGCACAGTTTGGGTTAACATCAAAAGGAACATTTGTATTTCCTCATCACAGTTTTTTTTAACTGGTTAAATCCGATAGAGTTGGGGCTGGGGGTGCCTGGAGGAAAGCAGGGCCCCACAGCCATCTGCTCGGCTCCTTCAGACCAGGAGAAGGTTTACCCTGCAGGAAGAGGGGATGGAAAGAAAGCACAGAAAGCAAACAGGCGGTGAAGGGCCAGTTCTACTTAGCTTGATAAGGGAATGGCAGGAGGATTTCATCTGCCTTCATGTCAAGTCAGCACCAGGTGCTGGAAGAATGTTTGCCTAGACAGGAGGAACTATTCAACTTGCTCTTTACCCAACCTGGCAGTGTTTTGGCTTTATGTCTTTGGGGTCCTTGTTTCTGGTTTTCTCCTTAACTCCAGAAGCAGCTGTGTTCTCAAGCACCACTTCTGGTCCTCTGCCCCATGCCGCTGGACGTTCTGTGCGTGCCCTATGGCACATAGCAGCGGCCCTGGGCTCCCCAGGAGGGTGAGCAGCAGCACTTTGCACCTGGCTGGCTTAGTTGATGCTGTGCAAGGGATTCCACTGGCCTACTACCTCACACTTGAACAGTGTGCTTTTGCTTAGAGACAAATTTCCTTTTTTTTAACAAACTGAATTTAAAACACAGAATTAGGATAAAGTCGGCTTGAAACTGTATTCAGAGCCAAGCTGTATTAACAAAATGTTTTAAATACGTACGTATTTAGTAGAGGAAACATGGCAGAAATGCTCACTTACCCAAAATGCATCTTTAAACTGCATCTGTGTCATTATGATCGGCCTGGGGAGGGCAAAGGTCCTTCAGCAGGTTGGCTCTCAGATGGCAGCAGCAGCACTGGCTTTTGCAGTTGTTCCTGTGCCCCAGCCAAGGCAGAAAGGGGAGCACATCCACACAGCTGTCTCTTCTAAAGTCACGCTGGTGAAAAATAGCATCAGGCAGTTTCAGGCAGCTCGGTGTAATGACCTGTAGCTGTGAAGGGACAGAGAGGGGAAAAAAAGCTCTTGCTCACACACAGAGGCACGCGTGAACGTAGCAACCCAGCGCCAAACCAGTTTCTCTTCTGGTAAACAGTTAATATTGAAATGAGGAAGCACGGAGATGTCAAGTGATGTCAGTCTGTGCCATGTGTGCATGCGAGCGGCTGGCAGAAAGAGAAAAGGAAGAAAGCAGAATTCAGCAATGTGATTTTGATCAGCTACAGGAGGGGAGAGAGCAATTAAAACACAAAGGAAGCCAGCACAATACAGAGAGAGAAGCTGGGGAGGAAACCAGAGTCAAACCATCATGTAACGATGTGGTCTCACACAGAATAACAAAGCAAAAGAAATGGAAGAAACGTACGTGTGTGCCACGTTTCTCTCACACCTCCTGGGGCTGGCAGAGACCCCTATATTTGTGCATGGGAACTGGAGCTGCAAAACTCTGTTTTGCAAATGAAAATGCTTTTCAAGACTGGTTAAAGTGAGGACGTTGCAGTTGTGCAGGTGTCTGAGCACATGTGCAGAGATACCTATGTGTGCATATGGAGAAGGGCTCTGATTTGCCTCCCTTATGTAAATGCTGCTATGAATAAGCAGGATAGGTGAAATTTAGAAGTAAAACCCAAACTCTAGAAACACTTGTGGTAAAAGATGTAAGAGTTTATTAGCAGAAAGACCTGAAATGAAGCAAAACAAGTGCATCTGTGAACCGTCGGCATGCCCACACCCAGCACTGCACTGAGACAGAGACCTGCAAGCAGCCACATCAGGGAAAGGCTTTATTGCACTGCAGCTGCAGGTAATTAACACTCATGTCTGATGCTTACATGACACCCTTGTCAAAATACCTTTCCTACACGTCCAGTTGTCCCTGTCCACCTCCCTGGGATGTGTTAGGGGTTCTGTATCTTAAAATACTCGCTGATATTTTTAAGGAGTAGGTAAAAGGAAAAAGCTCCTACTCTAGTTGCCTATGCAAAAACGTGTCCTTCCACACCAAGAGCGTACCTGGGCTAACAGCTGTACCTAATTAGCACTGCTGGTGATGCCCAGCTCTGCCAGCTCTCCTACTGCTCCCCAGGGGCAGTCCTTGAGCAGGAAGTCTCAGCTCAGTTGAGCTCCAGTGGGGCACTGAGATGTGCACAGAGACCTGCAGCAGTGTGTGGCTGGAGTTTTCTGTGATCACCTGGTTAGCAACTCGTCCTGCCAGGCTGCTAGAAGATAGAACTGGCACATCTACTTCTTGATGGCCTGAAGGTAAGCAATGCAGGGTGCAGGGATCACACACACAGAAAGGGAAATTGAAATGCATGCAGGCAGGAGAGGGCAGAACAGAGAGTGTGCAAGGCCAGAGCTGGGAACCTCTTTGATTGTCGTGAGTGGCAGGAAAATTTGTTCATAACTCAAGGGATGGAGATGGAGAAATGCAAGGATTCCCTGCAGGGGTGCTGAGAAGGAATGAGCAGAGGTTTCTTTCACAAGTGATAATTGCCTGAAAAAAAACACGTTTTGAGGGCAAGACACTTGATGTGTTAGAAAAAAGTCTTTTAAAGAATGTTTTATCTCAGTCTATCGAAGATGGAATCTCATCTTTCTTATTTCCAAATTACAGCTTTTGAAGTTGATAGCTTTGCTCTGTTGGAGTTCATGAAATATGCATCCAGTGAAGGAAAAAAAAAACAAAAAAAAACCAACCAAACATTTTGGCCATCCAAAAAGGTTGGCTGCTTGCTAGTTGTGTTTAGTTCAGCTCAACCCAAAGGCCCTGAGCTGTATGGAAGTGCTGGCAGGGCAGCAGGGCCTGAGCTCACCGAGATGCCTGGGAGCCCAAGTCCTGTGGCAGTCAGTGAGATCCTCTGTGATGCGGTGGATGGAGGTTTGAGCCTTTCTTATTCATCTTTTCATTTAGAGAGCAATGGGAGCGGTAATGGAGAAACGAGAAGCTACAGAAGCTTCAGAAAACAAAGATCCTCTTAAAAAATGAACAGCCCACTAGAATGGATCTTTCAGCAGAATGATGATACGTCTGCAGTTAGACAAATCAGAGCCTGTCTGGCTGAAAAGCCCTTCATCACACAGAGCTCTTATTCCAGCACAACGTGGGGATACACGGCTCACTCAGGAGCTGCTGGAGTGCTGCCTCTGAGAAGGGCTGTGACTCCTTGTGCTTTGGTCCTTGTCAGTATGTTTTCATGGGAGAATCCCTAACATTTAGGAAGCCGGAGTGATTTGATCATCCTTTTTAGGGACAAGGCGATTGGATGAGCGCTATGCATGGAGAAGAAGGCCTCCAGTATGCTTACTGGTTGGAATTTTATACCCGATGCTCCTTTTTCATTGTGTTGAACACAGAACGAAGCACTCGTTGTGCTCTGTAACCACAGCATCTGCTGGAGATGCTTGATGCTAAGCGCCCTGCAAACAGAAAGTGTGAGGGGCTTTAAATAATATGTAATACATAGAGTTGTTTAGTATCATGAGAAGCACTAGGTAAGGTTCCTTTGGCATATCTAGCAAATCTTCTGTATATTTTCTCACTTAGAAACATCCCCAGTGTTTTTTGTTGAGTAGAAATGCAGAACCCACGACCCCGTGAGGTGCTCAGGAATGACACCAATCCTTGAGCTCTTTCTCACATACTCCTCTCATGATAAGCTAGGAAGGGGAGCAGAGGACTGGTACCAACATTTGTGCTGCTTGTAATCCTGCAGTGCCAGAAATCCTCATCAGGTGGATCACAGGTCAGCACTGTTCCGTCTTGTTTTTCTGCTGTCGTTAAAATTGAAAAGATCATTACTAGCTTTCTCAAAACAATTGTGCTTTTCAATTATTTGCAGTGCATTCCTTGTGGATTGTTTTTTCAGTATCTTCCTTTTTGCTTTCATAGATCAGATAGGCCAGTAAAATAATACTCTTTGCGAGCCTTTCCTTATGCCTGCACACCTGCAGCATTCAGAGGGATTCCAGCACACATCCATGCACGTAGCTTTTATGCAGCATAAAGGATTCTGCTTTGCAGACTGAATTCTTGTGGTTTTGTGTGTTTCTTTTGGTCCATTGTTTAGAGCTATCCCAGCCTCTGGTTCAGCCTGAACCAGACCCCTAGAAGTTGTGCAGGCAGAAGTCATGCAGCAGGTCGATCAGATCTGCTCTGAGTCTTTAGAAGAGGATGCTGGAGTGAAACGCAGCTGACTGCTCTCAGCTTCCAGAATAACTCAGTTTTGTCTGGTGAGGTTTGTGATTGGAGAGAAAATGAGAAAAGAGGGCAAGACAGGCAGAAACACTGAGTGCTGATACTATGGCCCTAAGAAAGAAGACAAGAGCCATCCCATTTTTATTTTTTCTTTTCTGTCTTTCTCCAGGCGTTGCTGGAGTAGGCACAGAGATGTGTAAGGAGGAGGGGATAGTTCAGTGTGTCTTTTGGAGGTCTGCTCAGCTGCAGGATGCCCTACATGGAGGCTTCTCCAAAACAAAGCATCAGCTGCACCTGCCAGAGCAATGGCACAAGAGACACTCCTTTGTCTCCATGTTTGAGCTCATGTGGTCACTTCTAAAGCTCAAATACTGTGCAAATCCTTCTGTAAGAGCTGGCAGGGGGAAGCACAGTTCAGACATGCTAAGTGAGGGACAAGCTTCCCCCCAGGCACAGCAGAGCTGCTTCCTCATCACTTCTGTATTGTCGGGGTGGGCACTGGTGAACAGAAGTGATGCCTGTTTGCTTTGGCCAACCTAGGTGCTAGATTAAATTATCAAAAGCCAGAAATCTTTTTTGGATTGTGCAGCACTGTTAGGCTTTCCTTCTTAAAGAAGTGCAATTTTGAAGCCATTATCAGAAATCAAAAGAAGTCAGCATTAATTTACTCTAGGAATTACTGAAACGCTCAGTGTTACAGGGCTGAGCTTCGCGCTTCTCCAAATCCACATCACAGTTTATTAACAATTACATCGTCTCCTTTTGAAGGACTGCTTTTCTACGTCCATAAAATTAGATTAAGAGCTACAAATTTGGGCAGGCTGCAGCTCTCTTCCCAGCACACAGTGAGCTAAGCTCTAATAATACCTAACATAACTTGCTTACAGAAAGACTGAAATGAGCACTAAATTGGGTGTTTGGCACAGATTCTGAGATGTGAGCTCTGTGAATTGTGTGGTCTTTGGTATTCTACTGGTCTTGCTGCAACTTCTTCCTATTCCCAATTTTGCAAGTGACTGCAACCCAACAAACGACTCTGAGCTGTGACCAAGAGCCAACCATAGAGGCACTTTTTATCTCCTCTCTTTGGGAGCTGTTTTCAAGCTGGTTACCGAGTGTGAAGTTGAATTGGTTAAGATTTGTCTCAAAATTCCAGTCTATTCTGCTAGGCTCTGTTCAGAGCACTCAGCTGATTCCAGTGACTTCCTAGGGGGTGAAAAGTGAACGTATGTGCTTTCCTAAACTGAATCTGTCATGCTATAAAACTTTTGGGTTATTTCAAGTAATCACAAACAGAACGGTACTCACTTTTGTGAATGACAAGGGTGGAGATTTCAGCTGAGGTTGATTTTTTGATATTACTACTACAACTGTTGTGCAGTGTCTCAGTGGTTTAGATTTCCCTCTATCCCAAATTTAAACAAAAAAAAAAACCCCAAACCACCACCACGCTACTTTTGCAAGCATGTTCTGAAAATGCTAACTACAAACTTAGGGGTTTTTGGCATCTAGATCTGATAATATCCCTTCAGCATACAAAACCTAAGAACGCTGCCAGGGAATGCACAGTGCTACCTTCACATGGTGTAGTGAAGATGCCCTCAGTATTCCAAGCAGCATTTAGGCATCATTCCCAAATCGATTAGGAGGAGCTGATCATTCCCTAATCAACTTTAGGAGGAAGTTTTTCACACAGAGGGTGGTGAGGCACTGGAACAGGCTGCCCAAGGAGGCTGTGGATGCCCCATCCCTGCAGGCATTCAAGGCCAGGCTGGATGTGGCTCTGGGCAGCCTGGGCTGCTGGTTGGTGACCTGCACACAGCAGGGGGTTGGAAGTAGGTGATCATTGTGGTCCTTTGCAACCCAGGCCATTCTATGATTCAATACAGTACTGCACATTGCTGACGTTTCAAGGAGCTGCTGCAGATGACCCACAGTATGTAATAAATGCACAAAACACAGAAAGGTGCAATTTTTTTTGGTTTTAATCCAACAAATGAAGAAGTTCTTGACAATGTAAAATACCATCATATTGCCAGTGTTGTAGAACTGTACGTAAAAACAATTATTGTCTGTAGATGTAAAAATAGCGGGTTTTTCCTTTTTGTAATACAGTAAAACACATTATAGGAACCATTTAACGTTAAGTAGAAACCTCTTAAACAATTGAGGCATTTAACCTAAGTGTTTCTCCGAATGTATTAAATAAAACACAGTTAATACTCACTCTGAACTTCTTCCCTCTATCTTCTCTGCTCTCCTCCCTAATTAAACTGATTAGAAAAAATAGTAGTCTCATTTTCTGTTTTGAATTCCTTCACAACCATTTAGATTCTCCATTTATTTGAAGTGTAGTCACACAGCCCTGCACAATGCAGTACTGTACCTTAACTAATTTCCTTCCCATTGCTATGTAATTTTGGAATAAGTATTTAAGATTAATTTTGAAGGCGGGAAGAGGCCTAAGGATGTCTGCAGAAGGCAATTTAATTCTGAGTGCCGAGTATTTACACAAATGTTATTCTATTGTAATTACAGCACAAAACTTCCAACAAAGCTGAAACGTGAGTGCATTTAACAAAGGCTCCCAATGAAAGGAAGGGAAGAAAAACAGATTGCAAAATAAATAATCTAAAGTTCTTCGTGGTAGAAACGTTCGTCGTGAAGCTGCCTGCCGTAATCGGTGGCTTCGCTGTTAAGAAACAAATCCTGGTTCTTAAGGATTTCTGCCTCAGAAAGCTTTTTATCATCATTCAGATCCATTTCTTCAATCAGGTGAAGAGCCTAAAAATAAATGCAACAGCGTGCACTGAGTTCATAGATACGAGCATTTATAAACCTGTCTTTCCTCAGTTTGTCTCCCTTTGCTCTTTTTATTCAGAGGCAAAGTCTGAAATCTCTAAGCTCACTGTCAATTCACCGAGCCCAGGAGCTCAGTTAGAGAACAGCTGTCACACTGCTCCTGGGCATTCAACCACAGGTAGGCAGCTGCAGGAGGAAGTGCTGGGTGTGCAGGAGCTCAGCTAGGATCTGCTGAGCATCCTCTTTCACAGGTGTGTGCCAGCTCTCTCTCAGTCACGTTTTTGCCCCATGTCTGACAAGATACACCTCTTTTTCAGCTCTGTTTCAGCTCTAGGCACTGTTGCTTTCAACTCACTCTGTCTGCTATGCTGTTTTTTATGTCCTGATCCTAAGGAGACTCGCTTCTCCATCATCTGTACATACATATTTAAAATAAAAAAAGAGTAGGGTAGAGGTTTTCATCTAGATCTCCTGTACCTATGACTTGTAAGAACAGCTGTGTAACTGTAATCTATGGTTAATATTTAGCTGGAAAGTATTTGATGTCTACTATGAAAGAGGTCTAATACCTTCAATAACGGATGAGATACGCCATCCGTGTGTAGAAACATCAACTCTGGATAGCAATAAGCTTTCCCTCATTTCCTGAAAGCAAAAGCTTGCTTTTCGGGAGAAAAAAAAAGTCCAACAGAACTTTAAATCACAATAATGTCAAATGAAACTGCACGTTAAAACAGTTTTCAGTTTTTTGCTTGCTTTTGTATTATAGAAGGAGGGAAATTCAGCAGTAAAACAAGAAATGCAGAGTACTTTAGTTATATCATATTCACAAGAATTTCATAGCTCAAAGCTAACAAGCTAGTACAGCAGATCTAAGGCAACTGTTAGTCCTGAGTAGTGGAGGAACTCCTAGTCTGAAATGGGCTTTGGTTTTACTTGCTAAACATCTATAAACACAGTCATTTAGAGTATCCTTCCACTTCTACTTTTCCTGATCAGTTTGGCTCCATATAGAATCACAGAATCACCGAGGTTGGAAAAGACCTCCCAGATCACCCAGTCCAACCGTCCTCCTCTACACCACGTCCCTCAGTACAACTCCTGAACACTTCTTGAACACAGCCAGGGTCCTTCCACTGCGGCTGCTCCATCCCTGGAGGTGCCCAAGGCCCTGGATGGGCCCTGGCAGCATGAGCTGAGGGGCATGCAGCCTGCAGCAGAAAGGGCTGGGGAGCCATGAAGGTCCCTTCCCACCTAACCATTCTGCAATTCGATGAGATTGGGGGGTTGGACTCGATGATCTCTGGAGGTCCCTTCCAACCCCTACAATTCTGTAATTCTGTGAAATTGAGGAGTATACAGTGTTTTCTTTTTTTCTGTTATTTAGCTACCTGATTTCTCAAGCCAGTTTGAAATGCCAAAACCAAATGGTAATATTCATAACCAGCAGTTTATGGCTTAAGACAACGCTACCTTCTGTTTAGGATAGGTGACTTTGTTAGCCCTTGCATTAACTGAAGAAAAAAACCCAGCACGTTAGAGAAACAATCAAACAAGGCAGGGGAGACCTTACTGCTCTCTATAACTACCTGAATGGAGGTTGCAGTGAGCTGGGGGTCAGCCTCTCCTCTTGTGTAACAGTGACAGAATAGAGGGAATGGCTTCAAGCTGCGCCAGGGGAGATTTAGGCTGGACGTTAGGAAATACTGCTTTTCTAAAGAGTGGACAGGCACTGGAATGGGTGCCCAGGGAGGTGGTGGAGTCTCTGACCCTGGAGGTGTTCAAGGAACAACTGGATTTTGTTGAGGAACAAGGTTTAGTGAGAACTATTGCTGATAGGTGGATGGGTGAACTGGGTGATGTTGAAGGTCAACTTTGGTGATTCTGTGAGATACATCACAGGCTTCCTTGCAGTCCCCCTCACGGGTGAGATGCCGAAACAAGTCAGCACACAAGTTTACAGACCCACATTGACCAAAATAGTGCTCGTGCAATTTCACAGCGTAGCTTCCTGCAAAGCGAGGTACATGAGCAGCCAGCGCTGCCTGCTGAGTTGGTTTTTCTGTAATTAGCAAACTAAAATAGAAGGAGGTGGGACATCAGTAAATGAGCATGTCCCAACCCAGTTCAGTGCTGTTCAGTACAAAGCACCTCCTGACTGTAGTAATTTTGGAGGTATAGGAGGACCTGGCTGTTGTTTCTGCCATTTAGAACACCAAAATCCTTCCGTGCAAAGGAAAGGACCAGCACAAATTAAGATAAGAAGTCTGTAGCAGAAGGGCAGACACCCTCTGTACTGCAGTCAGTAACTATGAAGTCTATTCACTAGAAGAGGCTGGCTGGGAACACTCAGGGCTTCTACTGCCTGCTACAAGCAAAACAGATGATTAAAATGAGAATCCACTTAAACCTATTATGGTATTCTACTGCTGGTTAAACCCTTTTAATTGTATTACGAAAGTTTGCATTACAGCCTCTTGAAACATACAATACTTCTATTTTCTTATATAAATACAAGATTTTATATAAATTTTGACTAATTATGGCAATTTAACAAGTTAGAAGAATGATCAATTTTTGTTTTCAAAATTATGCTGCATATAACAGCTTCTTTTATTTGTGTACTTCATTAGTTTTACCTCTGATAACTTCAAAATGACTGTTTTAAATACTGAGTTCTTAAGTCAAACCAGGTAAACTATTTGAACACACAGAATTTGTAAATTTGTTCATTTACAAACATTATACAATCGATAGGAACTTCACATTTGCCTTATCCAGTGCAGGGATCAACACTCTTTGCCAAACTGGAAAAACAGGCTCAAAGAATCTATGCAAAGATCTACTAAGCATTCTTTCTCAACTACTAAGGAACTGTAAACTTGAATTTATCCATCACTTTGATGTACCATCACCTTGTGATACCTTCAGAATACTACTGCACTAAATAAATTCCAAGCAGTAATTACTGAACCAGTCAAAATGCATACCTCCTCTTGTGCAATCCCCTGGTTATTGGGCACTATCCAGGATAACAGCTCTTGAGGGTTGAGTTTCCCATCATTATCCTTGTCGTAGTCATTCACAAATCGATCCTTCTCAACAAGTATCCATTCTGGATCTTCCTTGGCAGCTAGTGAGAAACATTTGTGAAGTTTAAATCCACTATTTTCCTTGAAATCAATGCATTCACCTCTTCTACTAGGCAAAACAAGTGAACTTAGTCTCATAAAACATAACATAAAAGTGATTTCACTAAACAAGACAAACCTTACAGACCACTCCCAGTATATTTAATAAATGCATCTGCCTACACATAAGCTCTCTCCAACTTGTACAGATTCATAATTTAAAGCTAAAGTAACATTGAGACAGTAAAACTGCAGCTGAACCAGCCTATATCAGGGACATTAAAGTCATACATTACATCAACTGAGCTGCCTAGCATCTCCACAGTCACCCAAATTGAGAGCAGAGAAAGCACACTACATAGAGAACTTACTGGGAGATCCAACAAGTCAGCAGGAAAAAGTGAAAGTGGCTGACAGTGTATGATGACAAAACTTGTAAGGCTATACCACGTTTTTAATAACATTCTGTTGCCCTGCTTTTACATCCGGAGAGGTTCATCTGTGACAGCCAGCAAAGAGGCAAAGGTCTTAATTAGTGCAGGCTCAACAGACCTGGGACAATGCTGCAGGCTTTCAAAATAGTTCACTTCAGTTGTTTTTTTCCCTAAAATACTTGGAATGTATTCAAAACAGCTCAAATTACTTCTTTTCTTTACTTGTATTTATTTATTTGTATTCCTGTTTCATATTACCCCATGAGCTTACGCTGCATCCTGAAACCTAGCCAGTTGTTTTAAACTTGTCTCAAACTCTTCCAAGAAATTAAGAAGCCGTTCATCCAACTGACCACTCATCACTGATGAGCACTGTGCACAAGTGCTCCTAAACACCATGCAAGTCAAGAGGTGGTCACCTGGAGGAAAGCTGAACAAGTTTTACATTATAGCTGGGTCTGAAGCCTTGATTTCAAAATAATAATGGCAGTGTGATTGTATCTTCTCTGTTACTGCAAGGACCCAAGCACTGATTTCACTCCTTTCTAACAGTTTTAGAGAGGCAGGCTTGGAAAAGTTTTTTTCAAGTCAGAGCATGAAAAAGATTAAAAAAGCAACCAACCAACCCAAACAAACAAAAATAACACAGGAAAACCACCACTTCAGAAGTAGGACTCTTTAGGTCCATGCATTTTTCCCCATCTAGTTGCTCATCTTTTTGAAACCAGAGGAGGTTTTTGACATATCTTGTCAGAAGCCAAAGACAGAATATAAATATTTATCTATTAACAGCACACCTCGAGAAAAGCAGTCATAAACTCCAGACCAGAAACAGCTAACCTTACATTCATGCCAGCTGGCTTCCCAGATGCATTCAGTTAGCAGAACTGCAGTTGATTTTAGCTACCTACCTAGTGATGAGAATTTTATGCTTAAGTCTTTGGGAGAAGAAGTAACCTACGAGGAAACAGTGGGCTGCAAACAAACTTCTGCTGAATACTCACAAAACAGGCTAAAATAATGCCTGGCTATGCACAGTACAGGAAATTGAGTTACTGTGAAAGACAGGGTAATGTTACTCAGAGCCTGTAGGTGGAGGTACTAACAGCTGGAAACAAAGATGCATACAATTCATCCCATTCCAAAAGCTTTTGTTCAACCCCACCCCTTTTCCTTACTTGGGTCTCTTCTGTAATCACCAAGGAATTCTTCCAGGCTCACAAATCCATCACCATCTTTATCGTGTTCTTCTAAAGCCTCCTCAGTGACAAAGTCCTTTTGCATACATGCAAACAAAAAGCAAAACACCAACTGATCAGTCTTGCAATCAAGAGAAAAAGCAATCAATCATTTAAGTGCTTTAATGAAGCCTTTAAACTAAAGAGACAGTAATTTTGAATCTGCATCTCTGTTCTATAAGACCAGTGCAAATAATTGGTTCTGTGCAACAAAACAGGTCATTCTTAGTTTAGGATGTTAAACGTGCAGGGTGTGGATTGAGTTGGAATCCTTCAACATAATTCAAAACAATTCCACTAGCTAAAACCATTAATTTGCACAAATCTGTATTATCTCACTTCTCTTTTCTTTTTTCCTTCAATGTATTTGCTTTTTTGCAGTACTGAAGTGTTTGAAGGTGCTGGAAAAGATGTTTATTCTCTTAGTGCTTTGTTTCCCAGTGAGGTCAGCATGCCTGTTCTTGTAGCTGCTCTTGTTTGTTCACAATCAAGGGTTATGCCAACACAAACTGAAGCTGTGTTTGCAAGGAGCTCCTCCTGGCTTAAAGCTGTGCAGCACTGGACAGGCAGAGCTGAAGGAGCAGCAAAGCACCAACGTGCTTCTAAGTGGGGTCAGCTGTGGGCACGGGCTGGAACAACACCAGCAGCCACAGCAGTGATGAAACGTGATCAGCACCAATGTGCACTGTTTCCCTTGAATCAAGGTGTGAATGTCTGGCACCTGCACTTTTCCTGCACCAAAAAAGGTTTATTTTAAGCTCCTCTAACTTTACTTTTTAACTCTGAACTGGGCCTGAAACTTCTTCAAGCTGAAATACTACTGATCTATTTCTAACTTAGCAGTTTTAGAGATAGCCACGTCAGACTAACTCCTCAAGTTTGGGACAGTTGTGCAGTACCAGTTCTTGAAATAGATCTTCAAGAGAAATGCTGAGCTGCTGCTGCTGAACTCCAGCACTGAATCCACCTCATCTTTCCCTTGGTCTGGCACAGCAATATGCACAGCTGCTCAAAAGCAGCCTCCTGTAGTCCTGGGGCTTCAAAAAGGCATTGCCCCTAAACACGCAGGGCAATGAAGATTTCCTTGCATGTCTTACCATCATATACTCCACTTCTTCAGGATGTTCAAAAGCGATAAATTCATCCACATTTAGATCAGGATCATCATCCCTGTTAGCTTTTTCAAAACGCTTTTTCTCCTTTAAATGAAGCTTAGAAAAGAGATTTAGTTAGAGTGCTTAATGAAAAGGAAAAACATTATAGTAGCTGTCTGTAAACTCATTAGAATATTAATTGTTTCACATTACCTACTTGTACTACAATGATGTTATATTTCACTAAAAAGAGCGTATCCAAAGCAGTGAGAACTGCACCTTTAATTGAGGGGGTTCTGTTTTAGGAATTTATTAAAATCTTTTTCTTTCCAGTTTTTGACATTTGAAACACGCTCAGCCAAGGCTCCCCAATCATTAAAGAGAGATAATGAGAAGACCTTGCCTTTATGTGTTTCCTCTTCTTCAAGTCACCACTTCCCAAACTAACCCAGTGGAGTACAATGACTGCTACAGCAACCATCACAAATTCTAACACTTGCATTTAAGGACATTGAACTTTCTGAATTCATATCTCATTTACATCAAGGCAGTTTGTGGCTCTTGAAACAGCATACATATAAACTGAATTTTCTGAAGCCATTTTAAGTGCTAAAGGATGAGACAGACTGTACAAGACTGTTGCCCATGTCATCAACTTATTTCAAAGCTAAGATACTTCTCAAAACCACAGTAACTGTGAGTTTTAGCACGCCCCCTTAAAATAAACACTACCCACCATAAACAGGCAAATCACTATTTCTCAATGCCTCACACCTCCTTTTTCTGTACTCTAAATGTGCAAAGACTGCCTTCTTTTTGCTTGTGTCGTTCCATACACTCTCTTCAGACAAAACAAAGACCCAAATCAAGGATAATAAATCCCTAATCAAAATGTGTGCGTTGCGAGCTGTGAAAATCTTGGAATCTCATGAGTAAGTGTACTGTGCTCCCAGTGTCACTTTGATCTGGATAAGGCAGTGGCCACCAAGCTGCAGATCACAAGTACTTTCAAAGCAACCATTTTATGTCATACTTTTAGTTTCCATCCTATTTATTTTTTTTTTCTTCTCACAGTTAGGCGAATCTGATTCCTAAAGAGCACATTTAACAAATTGTAACAGCATGCCTAGTCTGCATAACAATTAGTTGAATTTTTAAAGGAAAGCTGACATTAACTGAGAGTTAAATAGAATCACAGAATTGTAGGGCTTGGAAGGGACCTCTGGAAATTGTCCAGTCCAAGCCCTTGCTAAAGCAGGTTCCCTAGAGTGGGTTACACAGGAAAGCATCCAGGTGGGTTTTGAATATCTCCAGAGAAGGGGAGTCCACCACCTCTGGGCAGCCTGTGCCACTGCTCTGTCACTCTCAAAGTAAAGAATATCTTTCTTACAAGTGTATGGGACTTCCTGAGTTCCAATTCATGCCCGTTGCCCTTTCCCCTGTTGCTGGGCACCACCAAAAAGAGCCTGGCCCCATCCGCTTGACTCCTGCCCATCACATATTGATAAGCACTGATAAAACACCCCCTAGCCCTTTCTTTGTTGGGCTGAACCCCTTGGCCTTTCCTCCCTAGGGAGATGTTCCAAGCCCCCAGCCATCCCTGTGGCTCTCCATTGGACACCCTCCAGCAGTTCTCTGCCTGCCTTGATCTGGGAAGCCCAGAACTGGACATGGTGTTCCAGATGTGGCCTCACTGGGGCAGAACAGAGGGGAGGATCACCTCCCTCGACCTGCTGGCCGTGCTCTTTTTAATGTACCCTAGGATACCACTGGCCTTTTTGGCCACAAGGGCACACTGCTGGCTCGTGGGCAACCTGCTGGCCTTCAGAATACCCACGTTCTGTACATACAAAAGTGGGTTAATATTCTTCATAGCTGAGTCTTGTGATGACTGTGGCTATTTGAAACAGGCATCCAAAAAATATATGTATGTAGTTGGGCAATTATCAAAGGCAATTACCATAGCTAAGACAATGAAAATCAAAATCCACCAGACACCTGACTAATGATCAAAGAAATCATGTGATGAAGAGAAGGGCCAAATATAAACAAGGGCATACTGACAAAAATCAGAGATAAAGTGACTTGCAAACATGAATTTCAAAGGAATACAATCAGTTGTTCCACTCCATCACTGACAATGGCAGTAAGAAGGCACCATTTCAACTTGGGACTTTATGTCTCCCCAGAAGACCACTTAATAGCCTTGCTTTAATAAATGTACCTTGACTAGTGGCTTTTCCTAAAGCTTTAAACCCTCTGCAGGGCACTGAGGGCATAGAGTTAGGTCAAGAGGTTGTTGTTTGGAGCCAGGCTCTGGGCTAAGAAAGAGCGTGGGGCTTCATGGCATGGTAAACTGGGCCAGAGTTTCCATGGGAGGTGATGTTAAGCTTGCACTTTAAAAGCTGCAAAATCAACTTCAGCTACTGATGGAAAAAGTCTGTTTCCAGGGCTTTTTTGAGAAGTGACAAACAAGTCTGCCACCTTCTGGTGAATTCATACATTTACTTGATGTCAGTTCTAAATCATGAATTGTCCAATTTTCCATTCTAACTGCTGCAGAATCTCTAATTTTCAAAAGTACAGCCAAAGACAGCTGATACACAATGCAGGTGCAATGCTGATGATTTTGCTTTTGCCACTATCAGTAGAAGAAGTCAGCAAGCAGGAAAACCTTGCCAGCAATCACCACAAAATACAGCATAAGTAAGTGACCAGCACTTTTATCTCAGCACAGTACGACGGCAACACTTCAAACACAGGGTCAATATTTTGGTGGGAAGTTCCATTCAAAATCTTGAATCTTGTTTTATTTTAAAGCTATGTGACTAAGTGACCTCCAGAGCTTTACAGTTTGCTTTCACTGTATAAAATCTGTTGCTTACTGTCTATTTCAACTTCATTTCTGTCAACAGTATATGCATGGCTACTGCTTTAATAAAAGTAGCCACCAAAAACTGAGGCCAGGCTAGCCTACAGACTCACTCATTCTCTTTGAGGAAACATATACATGTACTTACAAAAGCATAATTTAAACAAGTTTTGCTACCAAAGACTCTTGGTGAATTCCCTCCCTGCCTCTCTTGCCACTTTCCTGGTCATTCTTAAGTATTTATTTGCATATATGAGTTTAATCTGTAACTTCTATTGTTTATTCATCAGTTTTATCTACCAGGGTTGCATTTTGATTGATCAAAGGGCCCAAATTGCTACTGCTTTCCCTCTGGCTCTCTAGCAGACAGAGAAGTTGAAAAGCATATGCAGTATAAATACCCCCGAGTATGCACTGCAGAAATGAATGACCAGTGGATAAAAGAGTGCAGTGAGGGGGTAAGGAAGTACAAGGCTTCCTTTGACTCCAAGACGTGCTCCTGGCCCAAGCTATAGGCAGGACACTGGTTAGGCTACAGACCTCATTTAACAGGGTGCCATCCTGTTTTAAGCAGTTTGCTGGTGACTCTGCTCTGTGTAGGCTGATGCTCCACTCAGCTGGCAAAATATATTCACGAGGCACGATTTCGTTCTGTGTTCTGCTGGTAGCAGGTTTAATACTCCATTACTTTCCTTTAATTACTCCCCTATCTCAGAATAATGAAAGTGTTAAAACATGTGCCAGCTGCTACAGTTCCTCTACCCATCTTGTTCCATCACAATAAACAAATATTGTTTCCTTTTGCCAGCAGCTTTCAGAAACTGATGCTAAAACATTTTACCTGTCGAAATGATTCTTCTTCTTGATCCTCCAGGACAGTATTCTCATCAAAATCAATTACACGATCATACATTTGTAAGTTGTACTCCTTCCAAGACACCAATCCATCACCATTTTTGTCATAGTCGTGGAAGTGTTGCTTAGCTTCTTGCGTAACGTAGTGTTTAAATGACTGCTGTATCCAGGAGCTCAGCTCATCTGTGAAAAACCATTAGAATGAACAAAAAATCAGAATAACCTATCTTACAAAGCCTGCAAAGATAACACAGGTCTACCTGGTCTGGAATGCACTTTACAGTTCAGATGCAAGGCAAGAGGCTGGTGAAAGCAAAACAACCTGCTTCCTCTGGGCTACGCCTTTTTTTGAGTTAACTGAGTGAGAGAACAGATCACAGCTACCCCTTTCAGCTTCTTCTGTAGGACTGTTTCCCTGCTGATACCCTCAGAGGACAATGACATGGTGACTTCACATTGGATTATGCTGGTGCTGCCAGAGAAAGTTTGATGCACCCATCTGACACACATGGGAAGCGGCAGCAAGAAATGATTTGAGAGTGCACACATCACTAGAACTTATCCTACAAGGAAGGTTCTTTGTTTTCAACCGAGCAAGTGCCCTGACTTCAGGCTCACTGGGCCTGAACAACACAGTCCTGCCCCTTTTGATGGCTGCTGGAGTTAGGTCAGCTTGACCCAAAAATATTAACAAGGATTTTTCTTTTACTAGGAGCTGGAATCAAACTTACATACTTTGGGAATGCTTTGAAGCTACTTGATTTTATAGAAACGTGGCTAAAACAAGTTAAGCTTAGCATACAGATAGTTTCACACTAAGTTCTTGATTGTATGAAGATTGGAAGAAGGCATTTTCTTGGTCTCAAGCAGCTATTTTCAGGTGCCCAGAAGGAGATGGCTGGAGTGTATTACTGTGTCCTCCCATGTTGGAGTGCCAATACATCTTTATTAGGTTTATTTAAGCATCTTCGTACAGCAACAAGAGATTTTTCAACTATATTCTGCATACTAAATGTGTGGCACCAAAGGAAACAACTTTGTAAAAGATTGTCTGAATTGATTAAACACAGGGAGGCACGGATGCCAAGTGCACAAAACCACCGCTGCCTACAATGGAGAAACTGCAATGCAATTTATCACAGACGGCAGCATTACTGATAGGGCAGGTAGTTATTTCCCAGCTTTAAGCACCGAGTCCAGTGCCGTTCATCAGACATACTGCTGATTATAGAACCAAGGAATACCCCACGTTGGAAGGGACCCATAAGGTCATCAGGTCAAGCTCCTGGGCTCACACCTTCTCTGTCTGCCTGCAAACGAAGTGCACCGATAAGCAGAAAGATCTCAAGGAGTGTCTAATGCTGGGAACAGCTGGGAAAGCTCCATCCCCCTGTCCTTCTCGGTGTAAAAAGGCATTCCCTTGGGACTTCGGGAAGGGAGGGGAAAGCAAGTTTTCATCAGCCTCAGCACCAGGTGCCGTGCATTTCATCAGGGCAGCGTACTGACGGCACTGATACACTTCACAACATCAGAGCCCTTCCTGCTGCGCGTGCCGGAGACCAGCAGTCCCAGGTCTCCTTTCGGAAAGCATCTGCGCGATGCTGCCCTCATCTCACGCCATGGCTTCTCCCCGCAGCGAGGCGCTTTGCTGCCCCGCGCTACCGCGGTGTCACAGCGCGGCTCTGGGCTCGGATCTGTGCCAGCCGCTCTCGGTGCGGAGTCGTGCCGTGTACAAAAGCCACGTTCTGCCATCTGTGGCACGTTCCGGCACGACGTCTCTCTCGGGACTTTCTTTGTAGCGGACGATCCCCGGAGGAGCCGCCGCCGCTCCCAGGCCCCGCGATGCGCACAAAGCCTGGACCCGCCCGGTCGCCCCGCCGTTACCCTTGCTGAGCAGGCCGTCGTTATCCGCGTCGATCCTCCGCACGATGGCCCTCAGCCGCCTCTGCTGCTCTTCCGGGCTGAGCCGCGCGTACTCCTCCGCCTCCTCCTGAGGGAGAGGAACCGCGCATCAAAACCGCCTCCCGGATCGCTCGGTTCGACCCCCGGCCCCGTCGCCCACCTGCCCTCCTAGCAACGCCTCCCGGTCGTAATCTGCTCGGTGCTGCCCGTACGCCGCGTCCAGCGTCGCCAGGACCGCGGCCAGGCCCAGCGCCAGCAGCGGCCGCCGCCGCATCGCGTCGCCGAGGAGAGGAGCGCGCTGAGGGGCGGGGAAAGGAAAAGGGAAAGGGGCGCGGCGGGGGTCCGCAACGCCGCCTGCGCGCGGCTCGGGCCGGCGGGACCGCGTGCTCCCCCTCGTGTCCGGCGATCCCGTTGTGCCGTGCCGGGAGTCCGGGAGTTCGCTTCGGACCGCGGGGGATTTCAGCCGTCTGTGGCTGGAATGGAGCGTCTCGCTACAGCAGAGCAGAGCCGTGCCGTGCCGGACGGGGCTCCCAAACAGCGCTGCCGAGCGAGCGGGCGAGGTGCGGCGGTACGGCTGAACGGAGACGTGGGGGAAAAACGAGCTGCAAAGAGAGCGGGGCTTCATCTGCCGCCCGGGAGAGCCGAAAACGTGCCCGGCCATGCGCCCGCGCAGGTCCGATTCATCACCGATAGTGGTTAATTGAGGTTTGCCTAGGGCTGCCGTTGGGTTTGATGCTTCTCCCTGAGAGAAAAGTGTGTTTCTGCCACAAGTCCCGGCACAGATCGCCCTGCGGCATTTCAGGCTGTGCAGACACGGCAGACCTATTTTTGTGTCAGTGTCCGAAGGACGAGGAACGCTCCCCGCACCCGCTCTCGTTCCGAGGCAGCACGGAGCCGCCCGCCCAGCCTTTCACCGCACGGAACGGGGCGCCGCGCCCCGCAACACGCCTCAGGGCTCAGCAGCGCCCCCCGGCGGCGGGCGGTGCGGCAGGTGCACGAACGGCGGCTGGAGCGCGCCGCGGGTGGGCAAGGTGAGGGCAATGCCTTCACCGGTGCGGGCGGCGCATGCGCGACTGAGGGGGGGGGCGGGCGCGGCGCGCGGCGGCGGGCGGACGGGCGCTGGCGGCGGGATGCGATGACATCACCGCGGCGGGACGCGCGCGGGCGGGACGGAGCGGCGCGACGGAGAGCGTGAGTGCCCCTCGGCGCGGGGGAGGGGCGCGGCGGCGGCGGGCGGCGCGGGGCGCGGTGGCGAGGCAAGATGGCGGCGGGCCAGCCCTCCCCTCACGCCCCGCGGCGCCGGGCCCCGGGCGCTGCTCATAGCCGCCGAGCCGGGCCCGCGGCCTGCCCCGGCGGCCGAGTGCTGAGCGGGGCCGGGAGCTTGGTTGCCGTAGCAACCGGGAAGCCCGTGCCGGGTGTCAGTCAGCCCGTGCCGCGTTCCGTCCGGGCTGCGAGGCTCCCCGGCGTTGTGCGCCCGGCTGTGTGTGAGGCGGCTCTGAGTGCTGCCGGCTGCTCCAGCCCTGAAACCACGCGTTTCGTTTTACTCCTGCGTGGCTGCAGTAATGCTGAAAGATTTCGGTGAACCTATAAATATTTAACCCCACGTATTTCTCCGCTTTTGGCTGCGGGTCCCCAGTCCAGTACTTGATGAAAAACATGTATTTTATTATAGCTGTCTTCTGCATGAACCCGTTTGGGCTTTTTTAGTGACCTAACTAATTATCCCACAGAGATTTTCAGCACCTCTGATTCGTTTTGACGAATTTGCCCGGTACTGTCACAAGAAACGTTGCTGTTGGTGCCTTCCCCTGTTCCAGAGCAGTGTGCTTTGTACCGTTTGCTGCTGTAATATGTGTCAAAATGCGCTCCTTTGGGTGAACTTTGCTCGTTGTACACTCATCATTGGAGCACCTCCCTGTGAGGACAGGCTGAGAGCTGGGCTGTGCAGCACCAAGGGGAGAAGGCTCTGGGGAGAGCTGAGAGCAGCCTTCACTGCCTGTAGGGGCTGGGTTGTAAGAAGGAAGGATACAGACACCAGCAGGATCTGTTGTGGCAGCACAAGGGGAAATGGTTTCAAACTAGAAGAGAGGTGATTCAGATTGGATGTAAGGAAGAAGTTTTGTACACTAAGGGCTGCCCAGAGAGGCAGTGGTGCCCCGTCCCTGCAGACAGCAAGGTCAGGCTGGGGGCTCTGATGTGCTGTGTGTGTCCCTGTGCACTGCAGGGGTTGTGCTGATGGCCTTTAAGGGTCTCTTCCACTTTTAGGTTGTTTTTTTTTTTTTTTCTATAGTGTCAACCTCTTTTGATTTTCTTCTTGAGCTGCTTTTAATATGGAGCCAAGTAAGCACTTTACAAATATAACTGTCCTCTGAAAACATTACCACGTTCATCAGATGTCCTTGTCATAAATGTTGCTGGGAAGCTAAAACTGACTGTGTTTGTTTTGACGCAGGTATGAAAGCTCAATGGGGTCGTCCAAAAATGCAATGAATGAGCCTGCTGATGCAGAAGAAGGCTATAATGTGATGGTAGGTTCAGATACTGTAACACTGTACTGAGGTTTTTCCTGCTGCAAGAAAAATACTTTTTATTTGCGTTGGGATTCGTTAATGAGTATTCATTTGCACCTTCTCTGGAAACTGATTCTATCAACACCATTATGTGAATTCTTGAAAATGCTGAAATAACTTCTGCTTTCCCTTTGTTACTTCTTTACACATCCCATGAGAGTTCTACACTGTAAATGGAATAAAGAAATGAATCCTGTTAAAAAATATACTCGAGTCCTTCTGGTACCCCTGGAGTGTTCCAAAATTAGGACTCCCCTGCTCATTTTCATGCATGCCGTCCTCCCTCTCACGCTTGCCCCCCATACATGTGAGCTTGTTAGCCATGGACTGTGATGTGAGCAGTGGGGCAGAAAACCTCAAAACAGAAGAGATGCAAAAACCTTTGTACTGTGAAACTGTGGGTTTTGATACCTGCATTAAAGGACTGCTGTACAATGGAGTATTGCAATCATGAATGTTTTCTTTTCATTAGAACTTCTAAGGGAAAAATGCTGTTCAAACCAAATTCTGTTTCAATTAAAACAAAACTACAAGTTCCAAAGTTCCCAACTTTTGTTTGGAAATTGTCCCAGTGTATTTTAGTGCAGGATTGTTTTGGTCTGCACAGATAAGTGTAAAGAACAGCTGTGGTATTACAGAGGGTCCTGGGTGCAACACGAGAAATTCTGGGTATGTGGTAGAAGGAGGTGGCTCTGCTTTTGGGAGCAGACATTTGTGGATTGGATTAGGCCTGTGGAAGCCTGCTGTTCTGTGCCTATGGAAAGAGTGCTAATTTCTGTGTGATGTTATGACATACTTGCTGTGAATATATCCTTAGTAATGAAAAGATAACATATTGCAAAGAAATAAAACCCGTTTGTCATTTTGACATGTTTAAATGGGATTAGCATCATCTATAGGATACAAGTAATCTTACTGAGCATGGAAAATGACTTCATTGAAGTGTATCTGCTCTTGGGCACTGTATCTCAACGAAAGATAGGAACCAGTTGAAGACAATCTTGAAGAGAAACCCCTCAACACTCAGATTCAGTGAATATGTAATCTGTGATGTGGAAAATGTGAGAAAGAAGACTGAAGGGTGTTCAGCTTGGAAAATGAGAGGGCCAATGGAGGATAAGATGAAGTGGAATGCCAGCATTAAAAAAAAAAAATGGGAAAAAGAATTCAATTGGGTTTTCAAAGCCCTCTGTGTATGGCAGGAGTGAGCAGGCTCGTGTTGTAGGAAAGCTGTGGTTCAGTCTTGCATGGATTGTGCAGAGTGAATGTTGTCTGGATTGAGAATCCATGAAGGATTTGTCTACTTATCCCTTTTTGACAGCAAGCTGTGATAGATGAGATCTGCTTCTAGATAAGGTTGCTACGGTTTGAGGATACGTGAATACAAAATGCAGCCACATCTCAGAGACAGTTCAGATAAATCAAAACCATTTAACTCAGTTGGGAAGGTTCCACAAGCATTTGCATCACTGGTTTAATGCAGCAGTTTAAGTTGCTTTTAAAACAATTATGTGAGAGTTGTGAGTCTTTAACTCTTAGGTCCAGGGTGTAAGTTTTATTAACTTGTTAAGTTAAGCAACAAGGAGAGAAAAAACAAGCTTTATTCAACAGCAATGGGCAATCACTGAAATTTACTAAAGAGAGTGAGCTATTATATTGAATAAGAATAGACTAAAACCAGGTTAGTATAGACCCTGTTGATTTCTCTGTACCAAACTGTATTATTTGGGTGTTTTGGTTTTGTTTTTAAACAAGCATGTTTTTAGACAGCTCTCTTGCATAGTTCTGCTGTGGTTTTGGTTGTTTGCTCTCAGCGTATCGCATGGTATGGTCTCCAGGTGGTCAGTGGAGCACTAGATGGCACACTGTGGCTTTGGAACAAGCATTTGAGGACACCCAAGTGAGAGGAACTTATTGATACAAGCATTCAAGTAATTGCATCTTTTTGTTTCTACTGCGTTTCCTCCCACCCTGAGGAATACAGCCACTCCTCTGCTGTACTCGTTTTCACTGTATTTGCTTTCTGAAGATGTGCTAGTAGCATAACACAAAGGTTGCACGCTTGATGGCAAGGGTGAAAAGAGGAAAAGGTGTCTTCTGACTGCTGCTACAGAAAATCAGCGTATCGGTGCGTAAAGGAATGTTTACATCTACATAACTTACTTGAGGTTATGTTTGCCAGTGTTAAAGTGGTTTTGCACCACCAATGTATATAGACTTTGCATTACTGTGTGTAACTTGGCTTTGTTTCACATCACTTTCTGAGCAATAACTTCGCACAGTTTAGAAGAGGAACGACTTCATCCAGTTGATGTCTGTCAGCTGATACATCTATTTCTTAATATGTTTGGTTTCTAAGATCTGGTGATGTTATCTTTTGTCACTGCAAAGAAATGTATTTCCTAGGTGAATTCCTCAGTGCTTCTCATGTTGTCTGTGAACAGCTGCAGCTTTCTAGAAAGAACAGCTGGCTGTAGTTGCCAGGATGTGCTTTCTAGCTTCTTGTCTTCTCAGTGAAACAGAAGTGTTTGTTTTTTAAATATATGTAGGTGAAAGTAATGCCTCCTATTTATTTCCATGGAAACTGCAATATATACAAAGACATGATAACACTATTTTGATAAGGGAAATTCTCACTGTTTTTCAGCATAGTCACCACCCTATGCCACTCTCATGAAAAGCATCTGTACCAGTGGAGGTGACC